GGCCCATGTGTGAGAGTTAGCGTGGCACAGCATGGCCCATGTGTGAGAGTTAGTATGTCACGATATGGCCTATGTGTGAGAGTTAGCGTGGCACAGCATGGCCCATGTGTGAGAGTTAGTATGTCACGGTATGGCCCATGTGTGAGAGTTAGCGTGGCACGGTATGGCCCATGTGTGAGAGTTAGTATGTCACGATATGGCCCATGTGTGAGAGTTAGCGTGGCACAGCATGGCCCATGTGTGAGAGTTAGTATGTCACGGTATGGCCCATGTGTGAGAGTTAGCGTGGCCATATTTGCTGATTTACATGGTCTATAAATGGGAGAGGATCATGTGAACATTGCTTCTGGTGCAGAGAATGGGTCTGTCTTCTCAGTGTGGAGCCCATGGTCTTTCCAAATGCGCTGGCTCCAAATGGGGCTGCAATTATAGCAGAAACAGCCAATGACCCAGGTAGCCTGTGAGACTTGCTACTTGTGTTACCGTCCAAGACTAATGTGCAGCCCAAACAGGTAACCAGGTTGCCGCATGTGGTGCATTCAGTGGGGCTGCAATTCTTAGTCTGCTAACAGCTCAGCGACTGACAAGCTGAATTGTTGAAGTGAGAGCGCGGTCCTCCTGTCAGCACAGAAATATCCCGCTTCTTTTCCTGAGTTCCTGGTATCCACAGATAACTGCGGATGAGGGCTTTCCTCACCGTTTGCTAGCGAACGGGTTTAGTATGAGGAATCTTTAATTAGCCAAGAATGCCGACTGTGCGGGAAAGAGATCGCCTTGAAACGGGTCCATGACAAAGGCTGTTTCCCAAACCCAGCGATCAGCAGACATGACGGCACCTCCAGTGTCGATCCTCCCAAGCGGTGGGAACATTGAGGTGACCTGCAGGTTTTTTTGTTTATATACTCTCAGTGAGTTTTGGCCTTCTTGGATATATGGGCGGCTGAATTTACTACGATGATCCTGTAATGTGAATTTGAATGGAACATTTCATGCAGCTGCTTCTCTCCTTTTGTTTTTTATTCTTCATTCGTCTATCCATCCAGTAGAGGTTCTGGAGCATATCCCACAGAGAACAGGTCACACAGAGAGCAGCCATCCTATACAGCATGCCAAGCTTTTTAAGAAAGCAATTAAACTAGAACCATAAATTGTATTGCGGTGTTATTTTGGCATATTGCTGGATGGTGTGGGGTTCTGGAACATTCATATACTAATCAAAGTGGATAATCATTGAAGCAGTGCAGCAGTGACTTGCTGGTATTGCTGGATGGTGTGGGGTTCTGGAACATTCTGTTTCCATGCAGGAAGAGGATGGTGAAGCTGGTAGGTGCGGCTGAAGCCGCGGTCTTTAAACAGATAATCAGGCGGGTTCACGGCACGGGCTTCTGGTGCGCCTGATGTTGCCCGACTGGGCCCGTAAATCCGAGGGGGGTGAGACGACCTGTTTTGTGCATCGGTAGTGCACTGGTGCAGTTGTGTAGCCATGGGGTGTCGTGTTCGGGGAATACGACACCCCACGGGAAAGGACAGATAGGAAAGCTGGCCAGTGAGATCCTACCCCCGATTCCGGGCCCTTCCTAGGTTGCCTATCAAAGATCGCTAACAAGGATGCACCAATGATCCGGGATGGGGCGTGCAGGGTGGGGGCTGAGGGGTGTGTCCCACGGACTGGACTGACCCTCCCCTCCCAGCCCCCTATCCCTCTCGTGTCGTCTCTCTGTCCCTCTCTCTCTCTTTCTCTCTCTCGCTCTCTCTCCAAGCCCTCCCTCTTGTTGTATCTCTGTCCCTCTCTCTCTCTATCTCTTTCTCTCTCTCGCTCTCTCTCCAAGCCCCCCCTCTTGTTGTCTCTCTGTCCCTCTCTCTGTCTCTCTCTCTTTCCCCAGCCCCTCATATCCCTCTCTCGTCGGCTCTCTTCATTACCTTTCTTCTGCATCACCCTCCATTTCCCCCCCCAGGTGTTCAAGCCCATCGTCGGTGAGGACGTTACGCAGACCCAGGGCAGCCGCCGCCTGATCAGCTTCTCCCTGTCCGGTGAGCACCCCCCCCCTCCTCCCCCCCCATTGCTGATGCTAAGGCCACGCCTCCTGTGGGAATTTGGGCGCGAGTGTCGGGGACGGGCCGTTTGACTTCCAGCACTGTATTTTTAAAATGCGCTGAGTCACCTTTCCCAAGCCGCTCTGCTGTACCGCAGCGGGTCGGGGTGGCGCTGAGTCGCTCCTTTTAGCAGCGCGTTTCTGAAAGTGAAAAACGGCCACCCAAATATAGCTCTCCGCGATTAAAGATTCCGAAGATTCTCCCCGACCAGCTGAGTCACGCTTTGGCCTCCATGAACCCCTTTTTGGAAAAGTGAGGCAGCAGATATCTGTCGGCTTGCACGCTGGAGGCGAGATACATAGCGGATTTACAGTCATTCTCCGTGAGGCGCTGACATCTGTTTGTAGACTGCTGAAGGTCTCTGGTAGTCTGACCTTCGGGCGGTGGTCCTGCCCTCCGTCAGGGTCTCCCTCAGCTGTCAGTACGGTGCCTCCTCGGTACAGCGGAGTGCTTTCAGGTGAATTTCAGCAGCCGTCGCAGTCCTAGTTATAAATGTTATTGCAGACCTATGCAGCGACAGAGAGGTACGATTATCCTTCTGCTGACCCTGTGCCCCGTGACCCTGACCGGGATACCTGCTCGTTTTTATCAGTTTGTGTTTAGCGATGTACATTCTGGAGCCTTTTTGCCCGGATGATGCGGCGCTTTGCCGTGATGTAAGGTAACGGAATCACTCTGACCTTAGTGTCAGAGCTCTGGCTTCTCAAATGAAGGCAGTTTGCCTCATACTAAGATGGTTGACATGTCTAAAGCCACAAGCTATGGGTCTTTGCTGGAATTGGTCTTTTGAGAAGGAGCCGACTGATGCCCCGTTTCCACTAATACGGTGCCAGAGCCGGTGCCGGGCCTCTTCTCAATCCAGAGCCGGTGCCGGGTCTCTTCTCAATCCAGAGTTGGTTCCTCACAAAGAACTGGTCCTGGGCCAGAAAAAGTGGCTCCACAGAAAAGCTTGTCTCAGAATTTGGATCCGTAGCACCAGCAAATGTGGGACAGGCTACCGTGTCCAAACCTTCCGCATACCTGGAAAATTCAATCCATACAGTTTTGTCTAATTTCGCCGGTGCTGCTAGTGAAACAATTTGGCAGCTTATTAGCGAAATAACGTTACATAATTTTTTTATTCTGTGAAAAATGAAAGATCAATTTGCTGGCCAGATTTAGTAATAAATTATAAACGTTGCAGGTCAAATATATAAAATATTATAGCACTGGAGTGGCGAGAGATCATGAGGCAGACAGCATAGTTCAGCTTTTAGCAAACTTTTATTATATCCTTAAAAGGATGGCAGTAAAACAGCGAGAGAGACTAAACTCATTTACACACATAAACAGGAGAGGCAATAGAGACAGAGCGCAACAATGTCGTATTCAGCTTATAAGAACTTAAAAACCGAAACAGGTCAAAATAAATCCAAAAAACAGAATGCATTTGGACCTTTACTTTACTCTCATTTCTGCCTAAGTAACATTTGCATTCTGTTTTTTTTTCTAAAACTGGTGGAAATATCCCATAATCCTTTGCACTTGAAGAACTTTGCTCTGTAAGAGCACTGGGTGGTGATCTGTCTCCCTTCTGCCACTGCAGACTTCCAGGCGGTTGGGCTGAAGAAGGGCATGTTCTTTAACCCGGACCCGTACCTAAAGATCGCCATCCACCCGGGCAAGCACAGCATCTTCCCCGCCCTGCCCCACCACGGCCAAGAGAAGCGCTCCAGCATCGTCTGCAACACCATCAACCCTGTGTGGCAGAGGGAAGTGAGTGCACTCTGGTTTTCACCATAGAAGGTTGGCCTTCTGGTCCCATGGCGCTGTCAGGTGGGGAATCCCCATGGCGCTGTCAGGTGGGGAATCCCCATGGCACTGTCAGGTGGGGAATCCCCATGGCGCTGTCAGGTGGGGAATCCCCTGCTGCTTGTACAGGCCTGAGATGTGCGTTGATTAAGGTGCTGCGATGAGCTGCGTCTCTGCCCTCCACTGGCATACAGTTTACTGTGCCAGTGGGAGCTGTGCGTCTCTGCCAGCTGCTCTGGCTGCATTTGCCCCTGGAGATGCACCTTGGGGGAGGCCACCAACATTTCAAGCAGGTGACATGGTTTCCATGGCAACAGGCAGGGCCAGGAGGACAGGGGAGCAGGACCCAGTTACAGTGTCGACAGTTACAGTGTGATCTGGGACGGTGAGATTTAATGACGCGGCTTCTACTAACACGGCATGCAGTGAGCAGCGTCAGTGTGTGTGTGTGCGCGCGTGTGTGTGTGTGTGTGTGTGTGTGTGTGTGTGTGTGTGTGTGTGCGTGCGCGTGTCAGGATCGCGGGAAAACGGGCCGGCGAGGCTGTGTGATATGAGCGTGTCGGCCGGAATGTGGACTGGCTGTTACAATGCGTCTGCAGACCGTCTGCGTGATGAGTCACAGTGCAGGCCAGACTGCAGCACCAGCCCTCAGATTCAAGGTGCTAAGCGGGACGAGATGTGTCACGTCGAGGGTGTCACGCTGCCGGGCCAGAGGGGTGTTACGCGAGAAGGGGGTGGGGGGGCGCGGGACACAGGGCTGCTTTTTGGAAGGCGGGAAGGCCGCCTCCACAGTTTGGGGTCTTTTCTGCCGCTTGTGGTCTTGACTTCGTCTCCTCTGACCGGAACCAGCCTGGAAATAGCATTGAAATGAGGGAAACCCTATATCATTCTAATCAAACTGTTTCAATGTACAGACATGTTCTCTGAGCTCACAGAGCAGAGGCAGCACTGAGGCTCACATTGTGGCGGCCTAGAAATGTGACATCATCTACTGTCAGGAATGCTGGAATTGTCTCTAGCATGTGAAGCTGTTTCCGCCACAACCACACTGTAAGTAGCGTGTCTTCTGAGCCAACAAAGCTCTGGGCTGTGTTACGGGGCTCGGGAAACAAGGGGTTAAGAAGAAAAGGCAGTGTCAGCATCTCCATGGTGACGAGGGTGCTGAGTGTCTCCACGGCGACGGGATGTTTGTGAGCTTAAAGGCACAGCGTCGCCGTGGGGGCAGTGCAGTGGCAGCAGGGTCTCCGTGAGAGAGGTGGGGGGGGTGGGTGGCTGGACACTCCCATTTGTCATTCAGCACCGTCGCTGCCTTCGTCCCACCAAAGACTCACTGCAAGGTCGTGGGATTGGAGGAGCCTGCAGCCACTGGAGGCTAAAAATAGCACCCCCCCCCCACCTCCCAGCCCCATGGAAGATTCATCATAGTCTATTTTTAGCTGCATTAGTGGATTTGAATAATGCAGCAGACACTTGGGGATTCATGTTTAACAGCCTTATGCACCTCTGCCTTTACTGCCCTCACGTGCTGAAAGCACCATAACAGGCCAAAACACAGAATGTGCCCCCCCCCCCACACGCCCCCACATCTCCTCATTGAACACTAAAATGCCATATAGGACTGACATCAATGGTGATACACATTGTTGGGTCTGAGGGGCACCGGCCCAAACTGAAAGCTGACCGCCCCCCAGAATGCTGATTGACCTCCCAGGACCTTCTACGGGCTCTTCTTCCTGTTCCTCCTACCGGCTCTCCTCCTAGCACTACCTCCCAACACATTCTACCGGCTCTCCTTCCAGCACCTCCTCCCAGCACCCTCGTAGCCTCCTGCTGAAGGCACGCTTCATTTCTTACACCCCGCAGGGCTCTGCATCCGTGCCCCTCTGACAGCCCAGGGCACTGTGGTCCTTCATGAAGCCCCCAGCGGCATCCAGCCCCGTCCAAGAGCCCACACGCTGGCTCCTTCACAGCCAAAGGCCTGACTCAGCGAGTGCTCACTTTCAGCTGCAGCA